TTTATTTGTAAAGTTATCTTTTTAAAAACTCAATCTCTCTTGGGATTTTAGAAATGACGACTTTTAGATGGAATTTAAAGTTGGGATTTATGGTCTCCAAATTCCATGTTTTTTCCCACACGGAATTTCTAAATTTCTATGTTTTTTTATCCAAACACGGGAATTGGTTCATGTCAATTTAGAAATTCTGACTTTTGTCAAAATCCCAAGTTTATTTCCCTCATCCAAACGCACCATAAAAGAATATAAGTCATGATTTTTTTCCTTTTAATGTAAAAAAAAGTAAAAAATTTAGCCTTTTTTTATATACCGGGAGCCAATACATTTGTATTCCTTTACCTATTCAACGAATGTCGAGAATATTACCTTTTTTGACTTATAACATGTTTATTAATCCGAAATTGAGGAGGAGTTGGATTGAGGAAAGTTAGATTCCGAGTTCCTATTGAAGTTGTTTACTAAATTATATGGAATTGGGGTAGGAGTGGTACTAATTTCTTATAAGTTCTTTACTAAATTCACATGAATTAGAATTGAACCAAATTGATTACTAAAATGCCCTCATTGTTGGGTTAAAGTAGATGGTAAATTTGGAATTTTTAAAATTGTGTGAGGATATAATGGGTAAAAAAAAAAGGATTCCTAATGTGTTAGTTTTTCAGGAATTAGAATACCACCTCCCACCCAAGAGTCCAATTCTTCCAAAATCAGGAGTTGAATTCCTGATTTTGTGTGGATCCCACTCGCATTTTGATTCCTACATGTGAAAGTGAACATAGGAGTATCCATAATAGAAATTCAACTCCTTGTTTTAATTTTGATTATGAATTAGTAAACATTCCATTAATTCAAAACTAATTTGTTCCCTTAATTCTCGAATCACAAATAATATGGAATTTGTCTTTGATTTGACGAAATAATTCATTTTATTAATTAAGATGATTATGGAAGCAAAACATTTACACACAATGTTATTCTTACTCTACAAAAACAAGAAAAAATAGTAGATGACAAACCCACCCACACACACAACACACGATTTCAACTGGCTAATCCCATTTAGACGTGGTGTATGTACCAAACCTAGTAAGACTAAGAAATGCATGACATAGTTTCTTGATCATATTATATCAGGAAAGGGGAAAAGAGAATTCAAACACAAAATTTTAGGCATAAAATAACTTATTTCCGGCTCACTGTCCCCTTTCTCTATTTCTTCAGTGAACCTAAAATAAGAGCATTTGTTTTTAAATAAAAAGATAAATACTCGTAACTGCTACAGTTATAAGCCAAAAATAATGAGATTAATTGCACCAATTAGCTGATTTTGGGTTGCCACTAACTTTGGCACCAACCAAACTTGAGTTCGTTGAGGATATAGAAGTGGGCTGGTGATGTCAAGCTTAACAAGAGAAAAAGAGGTGAAATTGGTTGGATCTAGACTAATACTATCTTGCTCACAAGCTTTACATTTGAGAAAGACCAAGAAAACAGATTCTTTTGACTTATAGGACTTGGCCCACAATTGGCTAAGCACTAAATTCGATTCTAGAAGACCACAACTTGGTCATTGAATACCAATCTTTCTCTTAGAGTGGTTGAGTTTAACTCCGGAATTTTCTAACAAGTAACAGTAAGTCCATAAAAAGTGAAGACCAGCTGAATAATTTTAGTACAATTTTTTTAATTTAATCTTTCATTTGTTTATGTAAATTATTTTTTTTCAATGAGCCAGCATGTACTTGTTGACACTTTTTTATTCATTAAGATTTAGAAAAATGATGCATTCTAGATCGCTACAGCAATTCGAAGTAAATCCATAGATAAGTTCGTCATTAGACCAATGGTGGAGGATACCAAGAACTTGCTGACACAAGTCATTGGGGAAGGTTTTACCCATATTTATTGTACTGTCAATGGTGTGACTTATCGTATAGCACACTTTGCCTTTCATATTAGAACTTTTATGTACTAGTTTAAGGAATTACCTGATTTTATTTCTGATGTACTGTATGAGGATTGTAATTCATGATTAAGGAATTGTCCTTTTTTCTCAACACGAATTCAGACTTGTACTAGTTATAGCACATCAATAATATTTTATTGCTTATCAGTAAAAAAAATAAAGACTTAGACTCAAATTTTCTCCAACAAAATGAAGACAAGTGTCGCTAAACCAAATAGTCATCGGACTTATTCACGACTTTGGTTGCTCGCAGAAACTTCACACTGAGGAATTAAATGATGGAGATAAATTTCTAGGATGTTGAAGATTGTGTTAAGAATAAAGAGAAATTAGTGCTAGTTATGAGTCAGTAGATATGGTCAACAAAGATGGCCTAAATACAAGTTGCACATTGATTTTTATTGTGTGAAAGACATTTCTCAACAAAGATGCCTTCCTTTGATCATGTTCATTGAAATATTCCTCAACAAATGGTAAAAGGGAAATAATTTATTGGCAGAGGAAACAATATCTTCCAAATCCTCACATGGCAGCACATGACCCAGGGCCAGCGTAAACTCACAGCAAATGAACACAAACAAACAACTAAGAGAGCTCTCAAGTCGGGTAGCATGGTGAAAACCCAATTACTGACTATCTGAAAGCGGCTTCCGGGACAAGAAAAAAGACATCGGTGTGAAAATCTGTCTCCTGAAACACGTTCATCAAGAAAATAAATTTCAGTAGCCAATGTATGCAAGCTTCTAGACTGATTAAGGCAAATTGTAATCTAATTTACCATTGTTATGCTCCAATTACAAGGAGAAAATTTAATGGCTCTGCTTTTCAATATGATAACACAGGGAAAGGGTTCAGAGAATTTATTGGCTCTGTTTAAAAAGTTATTAACCTATTATCTTATATTGACAGTTATTAATCTACTGATAGTTAATTACCTACTTCCTAGTGAGTCACTAATCTTAGGATTGCTCTAACCTCAACTCGCTTAATTTCGGAATTCCCATGACTCCGAAGTCAGTGAGCTCCCAAAAGGCCTCATGCTAGATATGGAGACGGGCATGTACAAATAAGGCACATCACCCCATTTACGTTGGTTTATGTGGGATGTTACATAATATGTGTTTTCATCTAATTTAACATACTTATCATTTTTTGTATGAGCAATGTACCTACTAGAATAGGTAAATAATTATCAATAATATGTAAATAAATATTAATAATAGGTAGATAAGTATCAATAAGAGATAATAGGTAAATAATTTACATATTGTTGTAAATGCATGAGTTGGTGGATGACCACCATACCTTTTAGCATTCTACCCTTTCTAATTCTATGTAACTTATGCCTTAAATATTTGTAGTTAGTGCTTATAACTTATTCATATGTTGTAAATGTAGTACTTAATCTCTTATCTTGTAAGCCTATAAATATGTGGCTCTATCATAGATGAAAGGAGGAGGTGTATAAGTTGATTGACACAAATTCTATTGTCTTTCTCTACTTTCCAATTCTCTCTACACTTTTCCTTAACACGTTATCAGCACAAGCCTCTAACCACTTGAGGTTTTGTTTTTCTATTTTAGAAATAGAATAGTTTCCTCTTATATATCGCAAGTATAGAACTCTTGTTACATAGGCTTTGACAAATGGAAATATTCGGTTTAGTTTACCGATTATACCCACAAATTAAAATATGCAATAAAAAGCGTAATTCATACGGGCCTTGGTATGTTTAATTCTTAATAAGGGCATATTGGTCATAAAAATATATAACAAATGCTTGTCTTGGTTTTCTATGGGAAGGGAAAAATAAGCTTAAGGTGAATGGAAAGTTTCATTTCCCCATTAGTCAAGATACATTTTCCCATGCCTAGACTTTTCATGACAACCAAATGCAGCCCATACTGAAGTAATATTTCTTAGATGAGCCTTTTTCTTTCATGACCTTAGACAAGTCATGATTTTTTTTCCATAAAAGAATATAAGTCTTGATTTTTTTTCTTTTAATGTAAATTTTTTTGACATTTTCTAACTGGAATCCGATAAATTTGTATTTCCCTTACCTCTTCAACAAAGAGAATATTACCTCTTTTGACTTAATTCAAAAGTAACTGTTACCCTTAATGCTCGAATCACCACCAATAACATGGAATTGGCTTTGATTTAACGAATTAATTCATTTTCTTAATTAAGATGATTATGGAAGCAAAACAATGTATTCTTACTCTACAAAAACAAATAAAAATAGTAGATGACATACCCATAGACACAACACACGATTTCAACTAGCTAATCCCATTTAGACGTTGTGTATAGCAAACCTAGTAAGACTTAAAAATGCATGGCATTTTTTCTTGATCATATTATATCGACTAAGGGGAAGGAGAATTCAAACACTGGATGTAAGGGATAAAATAACTTATTTCCGGCTCATTGTCCCCTCTCTCTATTTCTTTAGTGATCCTAAAATATGAGTGTTTGTTTCTAAATGAAATAAATAAATACTCTTAACTGCTAAAGCTATAACCCCGAGAATAATGAAACAGACTTGGGTTCGTTGAGGATAGAAGTGGGCTGGTGATGTCAAGCTTAGCAAGAGAAAAATAGCTGAAATTGGTTGAGTTATTTAACTCCGGAATTTTCTAACAAGTACCAGCTGAATAATCTTGGTACAATTTTCTTATTTAATCTTTCATTTGTTTGTGTGAATTCTTATTTTTCAATGAGCCAGCAGAATATACTTGTTGACACTTTTTTTCATATTCAATATGATTTAGGCTCAAATTTTTTTATTCAACAGGTTGCACATTTATTTTTATTGTGTCAGATTTTGACACTTTATGCCTTCCTTTGAGTTGTTCCCATGATTGATAATAGATCTGATTTACTCTAGCACATGTTGCTGGTGAACAAGTCCAAATCCCCACATGGTAGCACATGACCCAGGGCCAGCCCAAAAAATAAAATAAAATAAAATAAAATAAAAATAATAATAATAATAATAATATATACAAATTAAATAGAGAAAAGAAACAAACAGAAACCCAGCTGAAGCAGGGTGGAAACTTCATTCCTTCATATCCGAATGGAGGTCCAAGGCTAACAAGTATTCCTCAGGCAAATAAACATGAAAAATAAACTCACAGCAAATGAACACAAACAAAGTAAGAGAGCTCTCAAGTCAGGTAGCATGGTCAACACCCAATTCTAACATACTTGTCCAAAACCATAACAGGTTAACTAGTCTTCACTACCAATTTACTGACTCTCTGAAAGCGGCTTCCGGGCCAAGAAGAAATACATCGGTGTGAAAATCTCTCTCCTGAAAGACATTCATCAAGAAAATAAATTTCAGTAGCCAACGTATGCAAGCTTCTAGACTTATTAAGGCAAATTGTAATCTAATTTACCATTGTTATGCTCCAATTACAAGGAGGAAATTTACTGGCTCTGCTTTTCAATATGATAACAAAGGGAAAAAATTTCCAGTCCAACATCACCAGTCATGCAATTGTGAGTTGCCTAAAACTATAATTATGAAGTCATGGCCTGTTGGTTCTTGTTTGAATCCCAGACACAAGATACCTCATATCTTAGCAAAATTACTTTTTCCCATATGAGAGGTGCATGGAGGTTCAGGTCTATAAAGAGAAGAGAATAAGCATGCTGAAAAGAACACTTACTTTCCACCTTCTACTAGCCCTTCAGCTGCTTTCTCCAGAAAATCTTGAACCCTTTGGCTTCCTGGTGGTGCAAGTCCAACAAATTCTAAAGCCTTGACCTACAAAAAGAATATAACTCAAGCACTGATCAACTGCATCAAGTATTTTGATAGCACGGGAATATTCAATATTCCACATCAACATGCACCATAAGAAAGTGGGTCTCCAAATTTATTGAACGACCATCATATTCATGAACTCTTACCATGTTTTTAGTAAAAAAACGCCCAACAGCTGTTAGACGAAAGCTACTAAATGAAATCCGACTTGTGTCCAAAGGCAAGTACCAAGGTTGAGGTGAGTCCACTGCAAGATCATTCTCCCATATCACCTATGGTCACAATGAAAAGAAAAAACAGAAAATTAAAGCCAATATTTCTTCTGTATATTTCATAAAGAAGGAAAACTTCCTACCAACCTCAAAACCAGCTTGTTTCAAAGCTTCAAGACACTTTCCTGTCAATCTGATGTCTGGGAGGCCATCACCAATCTCAATTTCCGCCTGTGGTAATAAAGTTATTTTATGTATATTCACAATCTAGAATCTGTTCATAAGTAAATTAAGCATCTATCACCAGCTCCATTTCATGCTTCTGGTTTCTCTTACCTTAATTTTTTGATGTTCTTGGTTATTGGGATCGAATGCATCAGTCATGCACCACTCATATGCAGCAAAACATTGACCGGGTTTTAATACTCTGTAAATCTCCTTGTAGCATCCATACTACCCAGAACAACAAAAAAAAGTTAAGCCAACAGAAACAGGGAGAAAGTATTGAGCTAACTAAAAGAGTAGGATAAAAGAATAACTTACTGCATCCGGTGCATGGCAGGTAGCTTCAATTGCATATACTGCATCAAATGAATTCTCAGGAAAAGGTAGTTTCATGAAGTCAGCCTGCAAAATTTAGAAACACATACAAAGAATGAAATCTATAACACAAACTTGTTCTCTCCAAGTTCTGCTAAGTCATTACTGCAGGAAGAAAAAAACAAAAGGTAATTTCTACAAAGAACATGAAACTCATACACAATACTACCGACCTTTACAAAATTGCAAGTCTTGTCCACTCCTATGGTACGGTTTAGTTCCTGTGGGGCAAACAAAAGCATGATATAGCATTTAGCCACTTTGAAACTGAAGCATTAGAGTTGTCCTTTCTAATATATAAAAATAAATCTTTGACTTTCTATTTCCATCGACTAAATTGAGCATTGTCCGTTGGACAAACAATTATCTTGAGATACCATCAAGGCTAATAATCAAAACAACGCGTCGCCAGTATATATTTACCTTTCCTCTTGTGATCTGATATTCATTGTTGTTCAACCCAGTAATTGATGCTAAGCTGCACAAACCACCGTATAAAAGCGTTGTTACTACTGACATCAGCATAACAAGTCTTTACACAAATCACAGTGATATCATCTTACTTATTAAATCATATTTTAACCATAAGCATAATAGGATGTCAGTGAATAAGGTGTTTTCAAAGTGATTCTCCCAGCTAATAACCACCATTCACTTTGTATTGTTATAATCAATCAGAACAATGACAATAATCTAATAGTCAATATTATTAGTATAAATATACAAAATTATGAATATAATTATTCGGTAGAACCCGGCAACAAAATCAAAATTTATACGAATGAAAACAACTATAGAAAATTAATCTTCACTAGTAGCATAGTCTGCATATTTGCCACTTCATAATCAAATATTACAGCCACAAGAAGGCAGAGCTACCACAACTGAAGCCTGAATAAAAGAAATGGCAATCACCTGAATAAAATTTTGAATATAATTATTCGGTAGAACCCAGCAACAAAATCAAAATTCATACGAATGAAAACAATTATAGAAAATTAATCTTCACTAGAAAGCATAGTCTGCATATTTGCCACTTCATAATCAAATATTACAGCCACAAGAAGGCAGAGCTACCACAACTGAAGCCTGAATAAAAGAAATGTCAGCGAATAAGGCGTTTTCAAAGTGATTCTCCCAGCTAATAACCACCATTCGCTTTGTATTGTTATAATCAATCAGAACAAAGACAATATTCTAATAATCAATATTATTTCTATAAATATACAAAATTATGAATATAATTATTCGGTAGAACCCAGCAACAAAATCAAAATTCATATGAATGAAAACAACTATAGAAAATTAATCTTCACTAGTAGCATAGTCTGCATATTTGCCACTTCATAATCAAATATTACAGCAACAAGAAGGCAGAGCTACCACAACTGAAGCCTGAATAAAAGAAATGGCATTCACCTGAAGCGAGCTATTTCTCTCAATGGTCCTCCAATTCCACAACCTACATCCAGAACCTAACACAAAAAAATGGAAAACCAAGTCAAAAATTTAAAAGGGATCTCTCTGGCTAATCTATAATCCACTAAATCTACTCAATAAGACTAACTTTCTGTCCAGGTTTTAGTCCTAGTTGTAAAGCAAGGAAGTGCTCATGTCGCTTGATACTCTCTCGAAGAGACTCCCCTTTCCATCTTCAAGAAACAAAGACATCTATCAGAAACTCTTCTACAGTACACAATATTTCATTGCTTGCATGTGAAGAGAAGAAAAAAGAGGAACCTGGGTGCAAAGTGGAAAGACTCTCCCCAGCCATACTCATAAAAGCTGGTAACAAGATCATAATATTTATTAACCTGAAATCCACACGAAACCAATTTAGTGAAAGTAGGCCACTACCAAGCTTGAACCAAAAGGCCATCCGTTTAAATTTGTAACAATGAGGCGTTAATCCTTTATAATCAAAAGAGACAATGCAAATGCGAACTTTCCCATATATACAACATTATCAATGTATCTTAATAATCAGAAAAGTTAATAGCTAGTACAACATGAACGACACAGCTTGCCATTCTCTTGGGTCTTATCACACTAAGTAGGTGACTTTATAAGACATCACAGAAACCTTGAGGCCGAATGGATGACCATTACCAAATCAAGAATCTTTTCAATCCCATGCCTTATCCAGTATGACAAGTCACACTAGATAGCAAATATATATGCATTTACAAGTTTGCAGTATTTCTTCTTCTTCTTCTTTTTTGGCGAGGAAGGGGTCTGAAGCCCAAACAAGAAGAAACTACAAAGAGATCATCCTAGGTCTAGCCAGACATCTAGCATCAGCAGCTAGAATATCAGATAAACCTGGAGACATCAAGTATCAGCAGCTAGAGATCATCCCAGGTTTGCAGTATTTCTTGAATATTTGACATACATGGCAGATAATATCTTTCTTTTTACTAGTGGAAAGAAAACTTTTTAAAGAGTCTCTCTTACCATGTCAGTATAGTTAGATTTTCTTGCTTCCTCTTCGCCTCCATAACAGACATGATACTTCTCATACCTGAACCATTATTCAATAAACTGAGATATAAGCTGTTTTCCCATAACATTTACACAGCTAAAAAAATACTCAGGTTAAAGGATTTCACACTAGACCCCAAAAATATTTCTAGGAACTTTACAATGCCATGTATGAAAAGATTAAAAGTTCGGTTACAACTTACATTTAATAGTTTAACAAAATTGAACAAAATGGCTTTCAAATTCTTGTTGCATCACCTCACAAGCCATGCAACTCAATAACAAGTAAAGTACTTTGACAATATTGTAAATCCTAGTCTTTCATCCCCATTACATACATAACTCATAAAAGTCCACTTTTTATTTATTTGGTCATCTAAAGGACAACATCCACTAATATAACATATTAGTATTGTCTCCATGATTTCAATTTCTAAGTACATCAAGTACTTAATTGCCATGAATGCCCAGGCAAATATAAATATAAATAAATAAATAGTAGTAGTAGTAGTAAATAGAAGTTACAAAAAATTTCATCTAAGATATTCAAAGAAAAAGCTTTACTCCATTTGGTTAGCTAGATATTCATAATGTGCAGCCTACCACCACATGTTAGGGAGGGACACCTCACCACATCAGTCAGACTTTCCCAAAATTACGAGACCCTACAGAGACATTCCCGTACACTAAGACATTCCCTTAGTTCATTGACTACTTGATTCACTAAACTCTATGATTTGACATCTGACAATTGAGATTAGCCCAAGTCAAAATTAGCATTGAACCCAAAAGATAAGACAATCTAAACTTCATATTAAGTAAAGATTAGAGCTCTAGCAGGTTGCAGATTAGTAAGAATCAAAAAGGGAAAGCCTAAGCTAGAGAGAGAAACAGACTTAAAAAGATATTGGTAGACAGAGAGAAATAGTGAAACATCAATCTATGGACAGAAACATAGATCAAAACATTAAGCATTTATTTCTGAGAAAGAAACAAAACCTAAAGTTTATGGTAGATAGCAAGGCATTAAAGAAGAATTCAAGCGAGACAAACAAAGACCAAAAACATTACTATCATCTTTTTTTTAATTACCAAAAAACAGACCAAAATTATAAATAAATAAATAAAAATGACCAAAAACATGAGTATCATGGAAAGCTGACGCTAGATAGATAAAAGGAGAGATATTGAATCAAAGCTTGTTTAGGGAGAAATGTTATAGGCCCAATGGATCATTTTCTAGAGAGAGAGAGAGTGGAAGTACTTTTCAACAGCAGAGAGAACTTCGGTTTTGTCAATCTTTCCACCAAGACCCGATGCGAGATCCAATGCTCCAGCTTTCGACATCTCCTCTTGAATTTCCCAAAAACAGAGTTGCGGAGATCTACACAACAGAAACCCATTTCATGAAAAATACAAGCAAGCATTTGAATGAGAAACTTTTCTTGATTTTTCAGCAAAAACAAAAAAAGTGAAAACATGTTTTGGGTATATAATGTGGGATGATTAGAATCAGAGTTTTTACATCAAAAGAAGAATCCGAGAGAACCCGAGATAAAGTCGAGACTTTTCGGGGGAGGCTGAAGAGATATGTGAGAGAGAGATTCGTTGAAGAAAAGCAAATTGGCTATATACAGAGTGACGACAGTCTCAAACAAAAACTTAGTGGCATGACAGGGAGAGAGAGGTGGCCAAACACTAAAGCAACGCCAAATCTCTGAATTTTCGCTGTAATTTAGTTAAACAAAACTAAAAATTTATTTTAATGAAGGTTTTTTTAACAGATAATGATAAAATATAGGTTGAAGAATAGTTATTTACACTTGCCCTCTTTGAAGTTTTTTTTTTTTTTTTCAAAA